TGATGAAGCGATCAAAGCAGTGAATGATGGGCAAGTAAAAGAATGTGAAGAAAGTGAACTCCCACCCTCAGCTACTCCTTACAAACCTAAGGTAATTATTAGTACTTGTTGGACCAACTTTTGGAAGGGGTGAGCTTTCATCAATTGTTGATAAGCTAAAGATTTTTATATCTAGCTTTTCGGCATGAGAAACTTTGGGAACTTAATCTACATGCATGTACGGGCTTCTACCTCTAGAACGAAAGCCCTTGCTTAAGTGGTCCCCACGTGCGGGTCCGTGAAGGTTTTGACGGGTAAGTTAGTAGCTCGGGAACCGGAAAAGCTAGAAAGCTGGAACTTTAAGGGGAAGTAGACGGAACTTCCTCTTAGTTACTGGAACTTTCTTTTAGTTACGAAGAAGTAAACTTAAAGCTGGAACTTCCTCGTAACTAAGAGGAAAGAGATCAGGCCGGTTTTGAGAAGTAATTGAAATTTACTATATGGTATAATGAGTAGGAATCTGACAGAACTCTTACGAAATGAGCTGTTTTGAAAAACTCGGCTAGAAAAAAAAGAGTAAGTTTTTGCTCATAATTACTGGAAAAGTAGTTCATGCAGCGTTTAAAAACAATAATTATATTTTAACTGATTTAAAAAATATGCGATGCACGTAAGAAATAAAAGCATAGTTTGTTCAAATGACGCAGAGCATATAAAACGGTTTGCGTTTTTCGTGGAAAAGAAGGAAAATTGAGAGATAAACGAGAAATCGGGGTCATTAGAAATATGGTACTAGTCACCACACTGGAAGATTGTGAGAAGTTTTGACAGATTGAAGATAAAACCAGGTCGGAACGCACAGGTGAACGGGTGCGACCATGCGTTTTTGCACTATTTCGTGTTGTAACAATATCGCAAGGAATCGCAGTAGTTAGAATTTGTGGCATACCAGCCCTCGAAGTTCTGGAAGTTAACTGTACAGCTAAGCGGCATGTTAGTTGTAAATGTCGGCCTCAGTGACCCGAGAAATGGAAGGTTGCTTGTGCGCGAAAAAAAACCCCACTAGAAGAGTTGAATTTGAAATCTTTTAGTCGTACATGACTATTGAACATTCCTCTGAAGTTTCAGCTTTCTAGCTTTTCTCGTTCCCGTGTTAGCAGTTTTCCCATCAAAATTTTCACGTGACCGTATGTGAGTCCTCAGCGGTCTAAAGCAGTTGAATTTGAAAATGTTTTAATCATACATGAGTAGGGAACATTACCCCGAAGTTTTAGCTTTTTAGCTTTTCTCGTTCCCAAGTTAACAGTTTTCTCGACAGAATTTTCACGTATCCGTATGTGGAACGTAGACGTGCATGACAG